TGTTGCCCTGGATTATGGCGACGATGGCTGTTATGGCCGGGCGGCTGGGCATCCCCATCGTGATGCGATGGACGTGTGTGAGGGACTTGTTGTGCGCGCGAAAAGTCGGCAAACGATGCAGATCGACAGGCTAGGACAAGCACACAACGATGGGGGCAGGGGAACGATGACACCTGCACAGCACCCTACGCATCTTTTACATGGTACTCACACTCTCGCTCCCTCCAAAGGCATGCCGCAGCTAGACACTGCAAGTCCCCTCGACTGCAGTGTCCCCCTCGACGATGCGATCTCCCCCTTGAAGCGTCGTATCACACTGGTGTGCCTTGCAGTAGCCTGTCTGCCGTCACCACCACCAGGACCTGGCCCGCTCCGCTGCCCCTTTTTGCTCATTCGCATGCCGGGCTGCGGCTTGCGGGGTTGATCCCAGGTATTGCCACCAGCACGAAAAAAATTCCACAGTCTGTGCATTTCATTCCCAGCTCACCTCGCTCTCCCAAGCAAGCCAAGTCACCTCACCTCAGCCTCCCTGCTGCGCGTGTTCTCGTCAATCCGAGTCAGGGGCCGGGGGCCTTCTAGCCATCCGTCCCGCGCTGGAGATCGCCACGACCCTCCACTTTTGGGACCCTGGCTAGTAGCTGGGCGAAACAGCCCATGGAGGGAGGCATCGCAAGGCACCGTCCTATCACAGCATGCAGTCGGCCATGCCACCATCACCGGCCGGACCCCCCGTGCCCCCTGGGTCGATCCGTCATGCCTCGAAATCCCATGTCCAGATGCCAAAGTCTTGGCCTGACTGGCCCGTCCTCCTCGCTCGCCTGTCTTGGGCCGCCGCCTAGCAGCGACGCCATGTCTCCCGACCACTCCAAAGTGGGACCTTCTTGATCCAGTCCTCCGCCGACCTGCGAGGGGGAACACACACCCTCTTCCCGCGTCCAACCCTGGATCCATCGACCACCAATCATTGCGGGATCGATGTCCGTTCCCGCGTCTGTTCCTGGCCCTGTTTGCCCTCTCCTTCCACTTGCGCCTCTAGCGTCGTGATCCGTACGCCTACGCCGGCATTCGTGCCCGCTGACCGTCATGGTTGCTCCTAGGGGGGGCCTGGCCTTGCGGGCCTCGCAGACCACCTCCTCCTGGGGGGCACTGACGTCCCCTCCGTTCCTCACAACCCTGAGATTCTCTCCTTGTCTTATAAAGTGCCCCCTCCATCCCGACATCTACCAGCACCCTTCTTTCGTTCATCACGTCTTTCACATTCCTTTCGTGGGCTTCAGATCCGAGCAGCTGTGTCGTTTCGACCTCCTCACCTTCTCATTTTTTCACTCCTTCACACGAGGCTAGCCCTTGTCCAAACTTGCTTATCTATCCAAACACGCCTGGCGCATTACCATCCTTTCAGAGCAACCAAGTTTCATCAACTCGACGAACAGTCTGCACCTGTCTACCAGCTTCCACAGCTTCAGCCATCAACCATATCAGACATCTTTTGACTAGCTCGCCGGTTCACCACAATCTCTTCGGATATCAAACGACACTGCACCAGAGACATCTACGTCCGGAACGTTCAGAAACACTCTACCGCAGCTTTCACAGCAACTCGCACGATCACTCACGCAACCCACACTCGGAAATTCTCTTAACGCAACTCACGAAATCAAAATGTACGCAAAGACTGTTCTATTCGGCGGCCTGGTCGGTCTCGCCAGCGCCCACATGAAGATGAGCTCCCCCGTTCCCTACGGCGCTGCCAGCCTCGACAACAGCCCCCTCGAGGCCGACGGATCCAACTTCCCCTGCAAGAACAGCGCCTACAGCGCCGACGGCGCCTCCAACGTCTACGCCCTCGGCTCCAGCGGCAACCCCTTGACCTTCGTTGGCTCTGCCGTCCACGGTGGTGGCTCGTGCCAAATCTCCATCACCTACGACGCCCAGCCGAACAAGAACTCTGTCTGGAAGGTCATCAAGTCTATCGAGGGTGGCTGCCCTGCCCAGGACACCCCTGGCAACCTGCCCGAGAACGCCAACCTCGAGACCCCGTTCAAGTACTCCTTTGACATCCCCAGCGACATCCCCGCCGGCAACGGCACCATCGCCTGGACCTGGTTCAACAAGGTAGGCAACCGTGAGATGTACATGAACTGCGGTCCCGTCACTCTGACCGGTACCGGCGGCTCCGAGTCGGCTTACAACGCGCTTCCTGACATGTTCACCGCGAACATCGGCAACGGATGCGGAACACCTGCCGACACCGACCTCCAGTTCCCCAACCCTGGCCAAGTTGTCGAGAAGCTGAACGGCGCTACTTCTGTCTTTGCCGCGCCCACTGGAGCTAGCTGCCAGGCTGGTAGTGGAGGCAACGGAGGCGGCAACGGAGGCAGCGAGCCTGCCCCCACCACTGCCCCTCCTACTACTGAGGCTCCCACCCCCACTGGCGGAGCCGGCGGAGCCGCGCCTTCTCTCCCGGGCGGTGTCTTCATCCCCGTTCCCGACACCCAGGCCCCTGCTCCTACTGAGGCGCCTACGTTCGAGCCTGCTCCTGAGCAGCCTTCCAAGGAGGAGCCTGCGCCTGCTCCCCAGCCTGAGGCTCCCGAGGTCACTGAGCCTACTCCCGAGCCTGAGACTCCCGTCATCACTGACCCCATCTCCGAGGCTCCTGTCCAGGACACCCCTGAGACTGAGGCTCCTGTTCCTCCCACCGACAACAACACTGCCACCACGCCTGGCTCTGGTTGTGCCAACGAGGGCGAGTGGAACTGCGTCGGTGGCACCTCGTTCCAGCGCTGTGCCAGCGGAGCTTGGTCCGTCGTCATGCAGCTCGCTGCCGGCACTAGTTGCGAGGCTGGCCAGAGCGCCAACATCAACATGATTGTGACCCGCAACGGCAGGAAGCGCGTCATCCGCAGCATTTCTGCCTAAAGAGACGGCGATCTTCTGATCTTGTTCTCTTCAAACAAAGTGTGATACCCGTAGGGAACATTATGGGCCATTTGGGACTTGGGCGGTATATGAATAAGGTTACGGGTACAAACGGGTGGGGCAGGTTTACGGGGTGTTTGGGTCATTTTTATCTTGGAGGAGTCGTGGCATGGTCCAGTGGCATCTTCTTCCGCACTTTTCTTGTACATAGAACATTCTCTTATTGGCATGTCACCGATTGGTGAATGGGGTAACGTGTATGGTTAGATCAGAGCATCCTTACAGGAGCATCTTGAGTATCAACAAAACACATTCAAGATGTACTCTATGAACTCAAAAACTCTCGCGTCGCGACCACGCTGCGACTTGACGTCTTGGAATGATGTCATTTACACCAGTTCACAGAGCCGCAAACCGCACATATTTTGTCAACGGATTGTTTCGAACACAGTGTTCATCTGACATCAGTCGGTACGTATCGCGTCCGGTTGCCTTGCAGAGAGTATGAACCTTGACGTAAAAGATGATCGGCGTTTGTAGTATCTACTGCCAGCGCTCTTGAAGGCGCTGCTCATCACAGCCACGTATCGCCGCCCCTGTTTCCTCCTGTGTGGCGTTTCCTCAGTTTACCCAACCAGCTTCGCCTGGGATTTGTGTTGCCTTTCCTCAACGACTTGAGCTGTATCGGCACCACCGATGGGTCCGTATCGATGCCCACGTGCGCCCTCCCGTCAACGCCAATGTACCTCCCGAAACTAAACGTGCGAGTCTTGTACTGCTCGGGGCTGCATTCCCTCACGGCCGTGCTAGCCGCCACGTAGGCCAGCACGGAGGCGATGTTTGTCGGCATCCGCGGCAAGAAGAAGGCGATGGACCAGCCGTAGAGCACGGCGGCGACGACGAGGCTGAGGCTGAGGATGGTCGTGCTGACGAGGAAGGCGGGTTCGGACATGAAGATGCGCGTCTCAAGGGCCCATCGCTGGCCCTCAAAGGCCGGCTCGGCGGACGAGTCATTGTCAAAGATGAAGGAGTTGAGGCCGAGGAAGAGGGCGAAGAGACGTGTGTACATCGGGCCCACGTGGTCGAGCATGGTTTCCGGGCTCGGCAGGGGTTTGAGGGGGTTGACGAAATCGGAGCTGTTCGTTTCCAGCCTGATGAGTTCGCTCATCCAGTCGCGGGTGAAGGTGTGGTTGTGCCAGCGCCCCTCGGCTCTAGCGATGATGTTGTTCGAAACAATGATGAGGTTGTCTGTCTGGTTGGTGAAGCCAGGGTAGCCGAGGTCGTACTCCATCTCGCTGGCCTTTTCATATTCGAGGACGTGACCTTCGGTGTTGATCGTCACGTCAAACAAGGCGGTGCGGAAGCGAGGATAACAGAGCACGAAGCCAGACTCCACGGTGCCGTTGGCGTCGCTGCCGTTGGATGTTCGACCCCAGCCCATGATGAACGTCTTTGCGCATGGTTCGGCCAGCCTGCCAGATAGAAACGTGTCTGGGGATTCGACGGAAGAAGGACCCTGCGGTGGTGCTGTGGATTCGTTCAAGCGGAGGTATTCCGGTTGATAGACATCGGTGCATCCGAGAGACTTCGTTATAGAGTGCTTGGCCTTGAAGTCGGTTAAATCCACTGAAGGCGGTTGCGTGTTCGATATAGCCGTCTCGCATTGGGGATCAATACCATATCCACGTGTCCGCCCCCGAAGAATCTCGGTTGTATTTTTACCACCAGTCTGAGATGCGGAGAATGGCTGGAAAAAATACTCCGTCGAAGTCCAAGGTGGGAGTGTTGTGTTCAAAGTAATGTTGGCTGAAGTGACGTAGAAGTGCTCCTCGTACGGATAGGGCATCCTGAGCATATCGGCGAAAGTAGTGAGAGAGTCATTACTTAGTCGTGGTGCCGCATCGTGTTTCAATTGAATCGAGTATTCAGAGCGCGTGGGACCTTCGTTAAACAAACCACCAAGGCCAACGGCCAGAACATCGCAAAGAAGCGCCATGATACAAACGATGGCCAGCATATAGTGTCGTGCCCGTAGTGCGCGCCAGACCACGAGTTGCGGCGGAATCGAGGTGTAGTTTGCGTCGATCGACCCTCTACTTGTGCTTTGACCTTCGAAAAGGTCCTTGAACGGTTGAAGGACGCAAAGAAGGCGGTTTACTAGCACCCAGAATGGCTCTATCAGAGTCGCAAGCACCGTCGGAATGAAACTTTGCAAAATCAGTAGAACCTCAAAGCTTTCATGGGGACGGATGAGACCTGTTGGTTGGCTTCTGTCAGCAGACAAACTGGACATGCAATGAGGGTAACAGACCACCAAGAGCTTCTTCCTTTACTTTCAGGTAAGTAAGCCCAGCTAGCATTGCCAGTAAAGCCATGATGAAAGCAATCCCACTGCATGTTCGAAGAGCCAGCGGCTCAACAGGTTCGTAATGACCTGCAGAAGGCCGGAAGAGCGACAGGATCCTGTCAGGCCGATCCCCTGACCCCAAGATCTTGAGCTCTGTGGCACCAGATGCAGAATCACAACCGCAGCATAATCTGAACCTTTCGTCCTCGAACTCATTACGAAGCTTCTCTTCAGGCGTAGACCCCTGCCCAGAGAACTCATCAAGCAGCTCTGGGCTCTTCCGAATAACCTGGATCAGTGCGCTGACAGATCCTGGTTCTCCGAGCAGCTTACTCTCTTTGGCTTGAATACACCAGAGGAGTGCCAGCGACATTGCACCAACAAGCAGGAGCAGAGTCTCGACGACAAGGGATATCGGTCTACTGACGATAAACCCATGCATGAAATATGTCGCCGTGCCATTCGTGGGAGCTACATCATCCGCATCTGCCAGGACCTTGTTGACAGCCAGATGAAACAGCATCTTTTGTGGCGCCACGAAAGCTTGCCCCAGTGCGGTATGGTTGCCATAATCTTTGGCCGGTTTGCTGGGGTCCGATCCAACCGCGAAGCCAACCATCGGAGACGCAGGCAAAGAAAAGCCGGTATCATAAAGGCGGGTGTACTGCTCCAGGAAATGGTGAGCATACCAATCTCGATCCGTTGCGACTGCTGACACTCCGCTGCCGAGGAGATAATGGAGGCCCGTATGGTTGAACTCTGTGTCCAAAAGTGTTTCGCGAGGGCCGAGAGGAACGATGCTGTCTTCAATCGGAATAGATCTAGGTCCTGAGACGGTGGCAGATACCTTTTGCTTGTAGTACGTCGCCTCGCAAAACACCGCCGTTACGTTGGTCTTGCCCACCTCAACAAAAGCACTCCAGATGGCCAGGAATTGGTTTGACGTATTGCGGGAGCAAGTTGGGCTAGCTAGGAAATAATCCGCATGAGCATCGTTGTGATACCCAATGTAAAGCAGCCTGAAAGGATATTTGCCTGCGTGTGAGTTGTATGGGACTATCGTACTGGCATTGCAGCCTCGCCCGTTGTTGAAGTGATAGGCGCCGTAGATTGGGCTATCGCTGATAGCAGCTCGCCAACACTCAAGTTCGGTGGTCAGTTTCGTGGTTGTGCCCGTCCAATTCGCCGCCGGGCCACCAGTCTCGGGAGACTGGGATGATTTAAAGGGCAACAGAGTATAATCGGGTGCTGTAAAGGGCAGAAGAGGCTGGCCAAGCCACGTTGTCGCAAACCCGACGTTCATGATGGACTGGTCGAGCAGAACGGATTGGTTACTTGCAGGCAGAAATGACGAGGTTATGGCCACTGGAAGCTGCTTTTTGACAACGACGAGTCCTGATCCGATGACGGAACTCTGAAGAGGTGTGATGAGCCAGAAGATAATGATCATGCTGATGCCAGCCAGAAACGTCGGCCAGTGACTTCAAGTCAAGTCAGCTTCTAGGCAGATTGCCACCATGACGCCCCGAGCTTGACCCCGTCCACGCCGGGCCTCGAGGATTAGATCCCGACGCAAGGAAATCTACTGACCGTCGTTTGGCAGCGCTGAATGGAACAAATCCAATGAAGTTGTAGGGATATTCCGAGAAGAGTGAATCTTTTCCGGGAGCGCCGTCTGTCGCAGACAACTCGAGCCAGGGCTGAATCCGTTTGACATCCAGGTCAACCCAGCTCCATATCATACTGTAAAACACAGCAACTATCGTAGGCAGAAAGAGGTAGGCGAAATTGGTTGCAGCAGTGTTGTCTTCCGGATGGTGGACAAGGGCTAAGCCGCCCTCGCGATTGCTTTGCACTGCGAGCAGCTCCGTGCCAATTGCAATGAGTGCAGAGATGATGGTGAAGGGCAGAAGAGTCTGTGCTCGCATTGACATGGGCTTCCAGCCATGCTTATGCTCTGGGACAATTAGTCTTCTTGTGGTATTAATAGTAGTTCGGGTCGAACCTCATACCACCGACCAGGCTACACTCGCTGTCCGTCTTCTCTAGCATCCTTGGGAAAATCGGCTTTCGAGACTCTGTCCGTCCTGAAGGTGTCGTTTTCTCCGCCGGGGAGGTATTCCGTGAGCCATGGTCATGCGAAGAGACCTCTGTTAGCGCGACGACAGGCCTCTTGCTCGTCCAGAACATGGCGAGGCGCAACAAAATAACCACCAGAAGAGTGACCTCTGGCAGCCACACAGAAATGAAAAACGGCCCTAAGGCTAGACGAACAGGAAGAAAGAGAACGAAAGCCCAGAGACGAGCGGCCCGTCCCCCGCGGGAACGCTGCCGCGTCTTATGGTACTAAGAGAGCCGCCCATGGAGAGGGGGCGGTCCCGGTGGAACGGTCGACCAAGACGAGCTCGTGGTGTGCCTCCATGTCGCCGGCCTGTGATTCGCCGGCGACAAGCTGCGGTTGGTACGAGGTTATGCAAGGCACAGCAGCTGTGCCTGTCGTAGCGGGGACTGAAACGCGCGGAAGCTGGATGAGGTCGCTTGGATGGTCATCGCGATGGGCTGTGATGAATGGGAGGGTACTATTAAGCGCCGACAGTCGAGAGCTTGGGGGCGGATAGACGGGTCCCCCACACAAGCGCGAAGAGGTCTCGTCAAAGGCATGGTAGGGTCGATTATGATAATTGCACGACGGATGTTGGTTTCTGCAAAATATCTCGGCAATTGATCACGATGGCATGTCTGGATGGGAGAAAGGAATGCTGAAGGGGATGAGGCTTGGGTGGTGCACTTTGTGGCGTCGGACTTCTTACCTCAGCAAACGCAGCCTTCGACAACATGTTGGACCTCATCTCATTGACGGGGACTGCTGAGAGTGGTGAAGGTGCTATGACATGACAACCTGCAGATAAGCACGATTGCTCTCAGTCAGATGATATTCCATGATGGTGCATCAAGTTCAATATTCGGAAGGCTTCGCATGTGACCAAATCGCCTCCAATGGCTGGTTCAAATATGCCCGTCACCAAAGGTGAGCCGGAATTGCTGCGTTCGGTCGCTGCACATGCTGCTATTGGGGGCCCGAATCAGTACGTGCTACCGTGTTGGGCGCTGAGGGACCCGACTCAGTGCATCAGTACGTCTGTTGCGCTCAGTCCCGTTGGTGACGAGGCCCAACGTTCTGACCTTCCAGATGTGCAGTGTATTGGTCGCATGACTAGCATGACTTCCACATGGTTGCATCGAGAGATGGCCATTGACCTGTCGCCGACCCACTTACACTTAACCTTATCGGTGAGCAGATGCTCGCTATCTAGAGAGGTATGTGTAGACCAGTCCGGAATTCGTCCTGGAGGCTCCTGCATGGAGGCACCTGTTGCTCTGGTAGCCATCATTCAGATGTATCAAGTGATGACAATCGCTGAGCACGGGAAGCGAAAAGGTCCAAGCCACGAAGCATCAGAGTCAGTTGCTGGTAGCGTCGTATGTCGTGAAGAGTGGAGGTTCTGACGAATTTCCAAACGGCCATGTCGCCATGGCCGCTCCACGCTCCATCGATGGCCGATAGTGGCGTTGAATTCGGCGATTGGTAATCGGATGCTGTTGCAGCCATCCTTCCTTGTCTTCCTGCCTTCCTGCCTTCCCAACTGTCCTGACGCGCCGCTGAGGGCAAGCCCATCTCCCAATCTCTATTTCGTACTTTCTCATCTTGTCGACTATTATCCGACGACCTGTCCAAGATTGGCCACGTGGGAATTCGCCGTCCGATCCTTCAGCCTTCCACACCGATATCACTGAAAGCAGTCTGTCTCACCTCGGAGTGAGACTTGCACGGACCCGACATGGAGACCCCGTTGACCACTCGGCCGAAGCCGCCACCTCTGGACTTGAGCCACCACTACTCGACCATCACCAATCTGCGGGAGCCCAGCGCCATTAAGAAGTACTACAAGTACTTTCAGATCCCAGGGTTGGGCAACCTAGCGGGAGGTAAGTCTAACAAAGCTCGCCTCCGATGCGTCCCCAATCGTCCTACCCAAGCAACAACTATACTATCACACTGCATACGCCATCTCCAGCCCCGTTCGTGATTCGATCGCAAAGGCAGTCTCCATTATTTCGCCTCCACACTCCAGCAGCATAAAGGGTACCAACTGCTGATTCAGTCCGCCAGGTCTCCCGAACGCCCAATTCTTCCCCTTCGACACGCTCGAAGCGCAGGCCGCCAAACCTGAACGATGGACACCCTCGCCCAACGAGCCCCCAAGTCCTGGGGCCCTCGCCGACCGGCTGGCTGTGTCGGGCCTGTCGTCGGCTCCGAATGGCGTACCTAAGAGCAAGCATGCCGACACGCGCAAGACGAAGGCGACCAAGCACAAAGACGACGAGCCTCAAAACGCACAGCATCTTACTGTGCCCATGAGCGATCCCCAAACAGATCCTTTCAGGAAGATTGACGTCACCACGGCTCTCCAGTACGGGACCGCAGAAGGCTACGCACCGCTCCTGGCCTACATACGCCACTTTGCCCGCACAAACCTTCACCCCAATGTCCCCTATGCGAAGGGCCCCGAGGTCATCCTCACCTGCGGTTCGACAGATGGCATGGCCAAGTCGCTCGAGCTCCTCGTGACCCCGTGGGATGCCCGTCATGATTCCCCACGAGACCGCCCCCACCTCCTTGTTGAGAAGTTCCTCTACTCCAATGTCCTCGCGCAGAGCATGCCCCGTGGCGTGCGGCCTGTGCCCGTCGAGATTGACGCCGAGGGCATGCGTGCTGACGGACCCGGCGGACTTGAGGAGGTCCTCAGTGGGTGGAACGATCTTGACGGCAAGAGGCCTCGTATCATGTACACCGTCACCATGGGCCACAACCCCACGAGCGGCGTGCTGTCTGTCGAGCGGCGCAAGGCCATCTATGCGCTGTGCCAGAAGTACGATGTCATCATCGTCGAGGACGACCCGTACTGGTATCTTCAGTACCCGTCCGCTGCGGCCGAGGAGGCCGCCTCGCGAGGCAAGCCTGTGCCGACGCCCAAGCCGACACCGAAACCGGTCAACTCGTCTGGCTATGAATTTCTCGATTCTTTGGTGCCGTCTTACCTTAGCCTTGATGTCGACGGCAGAGTCATTCGACTCGACACCTTTTCCAAGACGATTGCCCCCGGATGCCGCCTCGGCTGGATAACCGCTCAACCCGAGTTCATTGAGCGCTTCACAAGGTAAGCCCATTCTACCACCCCTTGTTCCCCCGCCCCCATAGAGCACCAACCTGACATCAACGACGCAGAATCACCGGAACGACCACCCAGCAGCCCTCGGGGCTTCGTGCAAGGCCTGGTCTCGGGAGCTCCTCATCGGCTCCCAGCCCGACGCGAAATCCGCGGACGCCGCCCTGCCGGCGGCCCAGCGCCCCGCCTTTGCCGACTGGAACACGTCGGGCTGGGTACGCTGGCTAGCCGGCCTCCGGGGCCAGTACGAGCGGCGCATGTGCCGCATGGCGCGCATCCTCGACGAGGGCGCCCACCAGCTCAAGCAGTCGACGCCGACGCGCGACGACCTCGCCGACTGGGGCGTTGTCACCAAGACGCGCCTCTACGACTTTGACTGGGCCCGCGGCGGCATGTTCCTCTGGCTGCGGCTGCGGTTCGAGACGCACCCACTGTGGCAGGCCCGGGGCCGCGGCACCGCCGACGGGTAGATTTCGTCGACGGCGCTGTGCTGAGCCACGCCCTCCTGGCGCTCGGCACGCGGCGCCCGCACCTCGTCATCCCGGCGCCGGGCCTCATTTTTGCTGCCGACGAGAGGGTCAGGGCCGAGAGCGCGTGGGCGTACCTCAGGCTCTGCTTTGCGGCGGTGGCGGAGGAGGAGATTGAGCCCTGCACGGAGCGCTTCGTTGGCACTGTGCACAAGTTTTGGCGGATCAAGAGCGTGCGCGAGATTGAGGAGCTGCTGGACGAGTTCAATGGCTACGAGGCGCTGGGGGACGAGGGCATGGGCAATTTGATGGGCATGGGCATGGGATGCTGAGTGCGACTCACGGTGGAGCGTCCACGGTGGCAGATTCATACCTAAGTCTACGAGACACGACAATCATGACAGAATACAAACATGACAGACTACAAACATAGTGAGACCTGTTGAGGTGAGACTTGCCAGGCCAAGATTTTTTTGGCAAAAAATGCACATGCACATCACAGGGCGTAGCGTAAGACGCGTGTGTAGAGTCATAATGGGAATCTTCTTTCATTGATGAAGAGGTCAACATTCCTAGTTGCCATTACGCCCCAAAGTAGAAACCATGCATGCCAGAGCCAAACTCTCGTCCCTTTTCCCGACGTCGTACGCAGATACCGAAACAGAAACCACTCCTCTCCTTGCGAGGGCGGTCTTAGTTCTTCTTCTGGGCAGCCTCCTTGGCGAACACTGCGGCGTAGGGGTTGAGGCGGAGCA